AATCAGGATGATGGGCATATTCACTGAAAGTGTTTATGAGCACCTTCTTGAAGATTTCTCAGACTTTATCAATCCTTAAACCTATTAATCATGAGTGCAAAAAAACATTCCATAATAGGAAGGAGGTAAAATCAAAACCAAAATTTTGTACAGAAAAAAACTAAAAACCAAAAATCAAGGCTCACAGAAGTTAAGTGACCTGTCACACAGATTGATCTCTGAGTAAACAGTACCTAAGAAATGGAAACTGATTAGTGAATGATAAGAAGACCCCCCCACACCAGTTTCCTTCTTATTGATGATTTGAATAATGAGGGAGCAAGAATTCTTGTGGCCTAATTCGCATTAAGAGAGCTAAGATAATGAAGCTGTGATTAAATGGCTATTAAACTATTTTTATCAAACAGAGATCAAGCGAGTGTGAGAATCTGGGGATGCAGAGTGTAATTGCAATTCTACAAGATGCAGAAAAAATTACTATCATAAGCAGGGCACAGTCCTTCCATAATAGTCTCCATTTAGCAACCTTCAGGATGCCACATGCAGTTTTCTCTCTGTGTTTCTCCCTTCAGGTGTCTGTTAGCATCCCAGAGTCCCTCATCTCTTCCTCAATCAGGTGGATTTATTCACCTGCTAGGGCATCCAGTCAGGTTAGCTAATTGCATTGTCTGCCCCACCATGTGTGGTCAGATGGAAGATCCTTTTCCCTTGCTCACAAAAGAGGAAGGCCCATATCATAACTGGGTCCAAACTTGCAATCTTGAGGTGACTGTGGGCACCCAAAGGAGCACAATCTTCAACTATTCCTTTTGGATTATGTCATATTTAGTTCAGGTCATATAGGGACACAGCAGTCCCAAAAAGCAGTGATGAGTCTCAAATTCTGTTGACTGTCCTAAACTATTATTTATTAATGACACTGCATGGCTTAGGGATTGTTACAGAGTCTAAATTTTGAGTTGTTAGGATGAATGCCTAGAAATTCTTTACACCTGGAGGGAGGTTTTGTTGACATGCCTACTTTCTTCCTGGGCAACCCTTGGAGAGTGGAGTTCTACAGGCACACAGACCTTTATTTAGGTTGGAAGAATAGCAGAAGATCACATTGTGTAAGGAAAAGCCAAGGTTGAAACCCCCTCATAAGAAATGTTCTTAATAGCTACAGAACTCAACAGTGGAAATGGCTGTCAGCCTGTTTTCTTCTTCCCCTTTCTACTTCTGGCGATGGAGCTGTAGATCCCTGCTCAAACGATGATCTCTTTTCTGACTTTTAACTTAGATAGAGCTAATAAGTATATTTTTGTGAGATAGCAATTTCAAACAATTGGAGAGCAGTATCAGGGTCAAATCTTTTAAAAGTTATCTTGCAATGTCATTTTACTGACTAATGTATTTCTATACCTTGACACTTGTGAACAGACATGTAATCGTAGCCATTGTGCTTCATCTGCAGCAACTTTGATTTATTTGCTCTGTAAATTGGGACTGGAGCAATAATGGAGAGTGACATTAATTGTTTAACAGAGTCCTCTTTGTCACATCCATTGCTTCTCTGGGACATGTGGTCATTGAAACTCATACAAAACTAATTGAAATTGTCACAGTGAGGGACTGCTATGTCCACTCAACTTTACATGTAGGAATATTTGTTGAGCTTTGACACAAAAGTGTCATCAATAAATAGCAAGCTTTCTTCCCAGCCTTCCATAATTAAAGGAAACAGAGAATTTGAGATTGTAACATATTTTTCCTTCCATAATTTGAGAACTTTACTAAAATAGATGATCTTGGAGCACCTTTCTGAGCTATTCACATACAGGGATGATAATCAAAATGTATAATAATCACTTTGAATGAACAATGAGTGTAAATAATGAGTACTGCCCTAGTAGTACATACTGGTTGAATACTTCTGCTCAAGTGTCCCAGCATGCATACACATACATGCTGACACAAACACACTGATGCACACACATAAACACACACTCACGCACACACACACAAGCTCAAGTGCCCACTCAGGCACATGCGTAAACACACATGAACACTCACTCGTGCACACACATACTCATGCACATACATCCAAATACACTCTCATGCGCACACACACACACACACACACACACACCCCACACACACTATGACAGTCTTTCATCCCACAAGCCCTTCCCTCTGGGTGAGAGAATTAAAATAGTTGGTGGTTTAATCAGATCTTGTAAATTAATTATGACATTATCAAGTTCCAATATTTCTGCCATTGTATTTGGTATACATTTACTTGGGCTTATTAAAGAGATTGGAGAAAACTAGTTAATTTAAGTTTTCTTTGTCATTTTGACTTGATTGGAATTATTGTGGTTTGTTTACATGAGGGATAGAGCTAAGGCGCTATTGTATTATATGATTGAAAGCAAATAGCAGCTTGTAGTATTGCTGGAAAGCCAAACACAAAATTTAAATCAGGGTAAACAAAATCACTCATTTATTGGTAAACACTCTTAACTATTTTTCCTCAGCTCTCTTTTGACTACAGTGAAATAAGCCTTTTTGGAAAACGGATATTTGGGGAAGATGTCCAGTTAATTGAAAGTGTCCACAGTGTATCTACGTGTGCATGTGTGTTGGGGATGCTTTCAAAGATTATTTTGTTCGATTGTATGGTGATATTTGTAGAATGTAAATCTCATAATTTTGAGTTGGTTTAAAATGATATATATATGTTATTTCAATAGAATTTCATTGAAAGCAGTCTAATAAATTGAATTTTGATTTTTAGAGTGTGAGAGAACTTAAAAAAGGAATGACTGTTATTTTTGGGTAGCAGATTATGATCCTGGGCAGAAAATAAGGGGAAATAATTTCACTACCTTTATTATTGGACTTACATGGACAGGGTCCAGAAGAATTGGAGCTGCTGGTGGCGGTGGGGTTGTATAAGTGTTTGTTACTGAATTGTGCATTTGGATTCCAATGAATTGGTCAGTTTGTGGAAATAAGTATGCCATTTTGAAGATAACAGGTCACCACTTCTAGTTAGGATTTGCCTTTTTTTTTTTTTTTTTTGCTGTACTTGGGTTTGAACTCAGGGCCTCACGTTTGCTAGGTAGGCTCTCTACCACTTAATTCACTCCACCAGCCCAGGATTTGCCTTCTTAGCTAGAGCATAAAAGTCTATGCAATTGTCATACTACATTGTGCCCAGACTACTTAACTGACAATGTCAAATCCAGGGACAGCAAAGAGATGATTATGCAAATATAAAATAGGCTGATTAAAGTCTACCATGAGAATAAATGGCTCTTCTTGGCCTCTTGAATCCAAAAGACAAAGAAGTCCATAGTTTTATTGCTGGATAGAGAGTGAGCAGTAATGAGGGAAAACAATTTTTATGGGAAAATAGAATGTATACGTGATAAAGCCCTGCCTAATTTCTTTAGTAATACAATTTGATTTTCTGATTAGCTGTCATATTCTGTGATTCTTGTAATTTTGTCAGGTCAATTAACTGGAGTTCAGTGCTAGAGAGAAAGGAAGTGTGGACACTACTGGCTTCATTAGATGTCAGCGGCTTAGGTGCATTTGTAATAGAATCTGTGTGGGATAATTTAGCCCATACTGTTAATGTCATAGTATACAGATCTTGAACAGAAAGACTTTGGAAGCAGGTCAGATTGGACAGACAATATAAAGTGCTAAAAGAAAGAGTTGAAAGTGATCTACACAGTATATACTGTCAGCAACAAGTGCAGATCAATGAATTATTCAGGAAGTGATCATTGACTATGTATACTGGGTGCCCAGTACTGGTACTGATTGTCCAGGTGGGTGGCCTATAACACATTGCCCTGTTAACCAGGTACACAAGCTCCAATTTGTGTGTCTTTGAATATTTTTGTGTAAAGGATTGAAATTAATATTATCTTTTATAGTAAATTGTTTATAGGTTCTTCCTTCCCACTTGAAGATTCTTAGAGAACTAGGGTTTTGTCTCTTTTCTCTTTGTGTCTTTAATCTTTACCATAACTTTGGCACAGTCTAAGGTGTTCAAAAATGTTTGTGGAATGAGTTATTGAAGATTTACTTTTCATGGGTGTGTTGGTGAAAATCAATCTGGGAGGTGGGGAAACAAGTTAGAATCTATTTGCCGAGGTCCCCACTAAAAGTAATGTGGCTCTAGAATTATACCCCTGGCCACAAGCAATAAGTACACTTAAGGCACATTACAAAGTAAGATTCTATTTAGTGACTGACCAGAGAAAGAGGAGTCAAGATAGGTCCAGAGTTTAAATCTGAAACATTATATCCAAACTAAAGAAGTCAAGAGAAATATCAATTTTTCTGTGAAAGGTCCAAAGTTTGGATTTTGGAGATGAGGGAGCTACATAAGGTAGAAGTGTCCAGTAGGCAGTTAGAGATTTATGACTACAATTGCGAGAGATGTCAAGGAGAAAAATAAATGATTTTGGAATGTTCAAGGATGAGATTATAATTGAAACCATGAAAGTGTATAGATTCTGTTGGTATAGTTCAAGTTTCTAATGCTGTTCAAATGGAAGTTTGTCTAAATGTTTTTTTTGGGGGGATTTATGCTGTACAGGAGATCTAAGCAGTATGTCTGAAGGTTAAATAGATGGCTAAAATTCTCTCAAGCCCTCAGAGTCCCTAAGTTCTCTTTTAGTTGGGGGAGAAGATAGGAGCGTGTGGGAAATAACTGAGAAGACAGAATTATATGCAGCAGCATTAAGCACTGACACAACAGATTGCTAAATTGGACAACTACTTACACAATCAGACATTGGTACAGTAGAAGATTTCACCAATTGTGAGATTCAGACCAAAAGTGAGTTCGGAGTTTAAGGAAGAAATGGTCTTTGTGTTTTGGTGTGGACATTGAAGATTTCACGTACAGTTTACTCCCTCAGCTTATGCTGATTAGTAGCATTACCTACCTCCCAGTGTCAATTCACTCATGTCTTCTGTATTTTTTTCTGTTTTGGCAGAAGATAGATGAAGAGAATGAGGCAAACTTGCTAGCAGTCCTCACAGAGACACTGGACAGTCTCCCTGTGGATGAAGACGGATTACCCTCATTTGATGCACTGACAGATGGAGACGTGACCACTGACAACGAGGCTAGTCCTTCCTCCATGCCTGACGGCACCCCTCCGCCCCAGGAGGCAGAAGAGCCATCTCTAGTAAGAACCCTTCCTACTGTTTAACAGCAATTGGAGTTGCCTCTGGCCACCCACTGCAGGGGTACGATGTAGAAACAATAAGGTTTGGATTTTTAATTTAGACTGATGCCAAAACAATCCCCAAGCACACTCAGAATTACACGTTATGTGATTCTCCATTATAAAAGTGTTGAGGATACAGTTCTTATGTAGTATTGCTACCGTTTTTTAAAAACTTCTTTTGGTACTTAAGTGTATGCATTTTTATTTCTTAGAATTATTTATGTTCATAGTAAGACTAGAAAAAATAGGCAACTAGAAAGAAGAGAGTAAAAATTCATCTGTGGTTTAAAAAACCCTCTAATATAGAAATGATAGAAGTCTTTTAAGATATATCATGAATGTGTTAGTGGAATTTTAAGTACATGCATAATTTTTAGCAAGTGCATAGTATTCTGTAAGGAATGTAATTTATTAAGCAATCCCCTATGGTTGAATGTTTAGGGTTTTTTTTCTTTTCTTTTTTACTATTATGAATTACATAATAATTAACATGCTTGCAGTTTTATCTTGTGCATACAAATCTAGAAATAGAATTGGTAGACATAGGGGCATGCAGTATTTTAAGACTTTGGATCCATATTTCCTATGAAGGTTGAAAAATAATAGCATAGCACAGTACATCCTACATTACTGAAATTTATAGTCAGCAATGAAGAGTGAATTTGTTGGCAATGAAGAGTGGATTTTCTATTCAATGCAGTTCTTGACCAGAATTTTATTAGTCATGAAACACAGTTTACCTTTCTCCTCTATGGTGGCCATTTGTCATTTGCCATAAATCTGATGTAAGACGATGCTGTGTAAATTATGGAATACTTTCATCCAAACTCTAATGATGTGCTTTGGAGTTACATCTGAAGGTTGCTTCTCCTGTATCTCTAAGTTCAAAAAATTTTAAAGAACCTGACGTAAACCTATAGAGACCATGCTTACATTCCTTTGTGTCTTGAGATTTCTGCTCCTGTAGAGAATATCTCATAGGGAATTATTTCTTATTTATTTTCCAGTGTCTCCATTTGCCGTTGGCTTTAGGGTCTAGTACTGTGATTTCTTTACATTGATGCCAGATGATTTTCATCTGCACAATTAGTTCAGTAGGGAAGGGTTGATGACTCGAAAACATCCTGCCTGTCAAGCAGGGAAGTCTTTGATAGTCATCCAGGCAAATGAGGAAACAGAGACCAAGAAACAGCAAATGCTTGGCCTTTGTCAAAACTCACAAAACTCATGTCTTATCTACTGACCAGAATTCTACTTACAAATCCTTTCTTTCCATTCTGAAATCAGTGACAACCACTGTTTTATCCCACACAAATTCTTCAAATTAGTAAACTTGTATAGTTGGTTGTGAAACATGGGGCAGCATCAAAGAATCATCTACCGTCACTCAATTTATCTGGGTTTTAGAAGGGAAAATGTGTATCTATTCTTCCTCCCTCCCAAGCCCTCAATTAGCAAGGCAGCACACCTTACCTGACGTAGTAGTGGAAGTTGTTTTAGGAATGATTTCAGTATTTTAGCTAAAAATAATTTTTAAAAATTAAGGTTTACAATGTGAAGTCTCAAATACAGGAAAAGAAAATAGTCTCATACTTTTTCTTTTCAAGGAAATATGCTGAATTAGCACTATTGTACTAAAATGGGGTATAACTACAGAGTGAGAGGATACATTTTTATAATTAATATTAATAGTTAATTTTAAGTTTATAACTTCAGTTACTTATTCTAATCTTAAGAAATACCTAATTTTTTCCTGCTTTTCCCTTTTCTGATGTGTTTCTAGCTTAAGAAGCTCTTACTGGCACCGGCCAACACCCAGCTGAGTTATAATGAATGCAGTGGTCTCAGTACCCAGAACCATGCAAACCACAATCACAGGATCAGAACAAACCCTGCAGTTGTTAAGGTACACACATAAATGTTCCAGTACAAGGAGGAGAGTAGTAACAGGCGTTTCATGAATCTGTAAACCAGATAGGTTTGTGTGGATTAATTTAACTGGTATCCAGCATCTGCCTCTTCCCAGGGAAAGAGATTATGAAATGGCTTTCCAAAGCAGCACTTGAGCTATTGGAAACTAGGAAGAGTTCATGTGTGCATGGATGATTGGGATGGAAGTGCCACTGTGTGTGGTTCCTTATCCACTTTATTGATACGTTCAGTGGGGTACGCTACACCAAAATTTGCTGATAGGCTGATATATTATCTGCAAGTGACTTTAAGATGCAGGATGGCTGTTTTGCCAGCTGTCTAACCTGAGAAAGATAGCTTTGGAATCACTGCGAAAGATCCGTCTCTGCCATTAATTGGAGAGAATGCTGGCAATGACATAATTCGGTTAGCAGGCTGTATTAAACAATGTTTGTCTTGCCACTCACTGTGAGTGAAAACGGAGCATTAAGGGGTACTTAAGAGAGTTGTGAACACTGGGCTTCAGCAATCAGTAGTAAATTAAGGTTTAAACCAGCTTATTTTTTTGTATTCACAGTAAAGGCGCTGTAGGGTCTTGTTAGTTACATGTTGCTGAGTAGGAACATTGAAATGTAGGAGAAATGAAATAAAAAGCTGCATAAATGTCATTTAGGAATTTTAAATGTAATTTTCTTTCCTTGTTCTGCAAACAATTATTCACAGCTCATAGATCTAGTACACTTAGACTGAACACTTCACTGAAAATCTCATCTCTTCAGAAAACCTATATCCATTCTGCTAAGGTTCAGTTCACTAATTTTAGCCTTCTTTATGCCTTGTGTTTAAGACCGAGAATTCATGGAGTAATAAAGCAAAGAGCATTTGTCAACAGCAAAAGCCACAAAGACGTCCCTGCTCAGAGCTTCTTAAGTATCTGACCACAAATGATGACCCTCCTCATACCAAACCCACAGAAAACAGGAACAGCAGCAGAGACAAATGCACCTCCAAAAAGAAGTCCCACACACAATTGCAGTCACAACATGTACAAGGTAGGTGGGGGACCAGAGTGCTGGTGAGGAGGGTTGAAGGCAAAGCACACACAGATCCGAGTGCATGGACCTGGTACTTGCTGTCATCCCACTGGTGTCTCTCTGTGGAAAGGGAATATAGTACTTTATTATAGAGGTGGAAATTCTTCTTTGGACACAGGGTGAACATCTGCTATTCAGCCAAGATACAGTCTATATCACAACTTCCAAAACACACCTGAAATACTAGCCTGCTGGAGGATGGAGAGCTGTAGGAAGGAACTGCAACACCAGTGAAGTTTAGAAAAATTTCTGGATTGCTGAGATTGTTGAAGTTATGTGCAAATTGCACTAGCTTGCTCATTAAAGATCTTTCATTTAATGGAAAAAATGAGGCACTATAGATTTGTTGTCTGTACCTTAAGAAGTAGTAAATAGTATTTACATAGTCTTTGATAAAGTGCATTCTTCTTCCTTATTTTTTTTGGCCATCTGCTCTGCCCAAAGATTTCATTTTGTATGTAAGGATTTGGAAATTCCTGAATTTTTTGCCCTTTGTTTATTTTGAAAAAAATATTGCCTACATTAAACAAAACATCTGGGTTAATTTTTATTTTTTCCATATGTAGCTAGGAGGCTGATGCTTGTGAGGCAAATCAGGATGATTTGGGGAAAATCTCTCTTGGCAAAGACATTTTCTGTTTCAAGTCTTGCTCCTCAAAATGATATAGTCTAGGAGGCTCAAAGAGAGCTGTTGAAATAATTGCTGCTTTAAAATATGCCAGCTTCTACCTTCTACCTCAAACCTTGTAGTGGAAAGCGGCATATTCTAAAACAACAATTGTAAATACCCACGCCTTTTCTTTCTTTTGGTTTCTCTACCTTCTTCTAGTTGCAGAATGGTAGTTCTACATGTTTTGAACCATGAGTATTCTGTACAGGTATGCTGAAGTTGCTGGTGATTTAAAAGTCTTTTCTTTCCCAGGGTTTAGAATTCCTCTTCTCTCCTCTGTACTGTACTATTAGCACAGAACTTTCAGGAACTTTCCTGTAATACTTTAAATTGGTTCTCAATTAGGTTTTTCCTGCTGGGTATGTTAAATTTGCTGTCCATCTCTTTGTGTGTCAGTTTGGGGAGACGGTACTTAGCAAAATTAACCCAAGTCACTTCCAGCTCCCTTTGCCTGGATTGTTTCCCAATTAGCAGCACTATCACAGTTTTTTAGGGGAAAGGACCCCTCCATGCTGATGGACTCATGGTGCTCAAGGCCTGGGTGAAAGGAGCTGGCTTGACTTGCTGACTTGCTCTTCTGAGTGAGTGGAAGAATTCACTGGGCCTCTCTCCACCTTATCCTGGTCATAACATTCATTTTCTGGAGCTGAATTTAAAGTCCTGAGCTCAGTGAAGCCCTGTGATCAGGAAGCCAGACCAGCAGCACAAGGTTTAAAGCTTTTTTCTGTTTTTTACACTTTTTGATTTTGAGATTTTTTTTTTTAAAGTCCACTTACCACTAAACATTACTGTAGACTTTTACAAATCCTGGCAATGAAAAATTAAATAGGCCTATGGAAGATATATTCTCTAGGTGAGACAGTCTACATGTGGGATTTTTAAGGTCTATATCTGTGATAAGGAATAAAAAAAGGCTTATTCCAGAACAAGGCCTGCTTATGAAAAAAGAAAGAAATCCTGTAGTTATTAAGGCCTAAAAAAAAGAAACATGTCTGGCTGTTAATAACCAATAAAAGCTCTATTTCAGAGATTATTTAACTTATCATTCAAAATCAAAAAGTAGAAATTACATGACGAGACCATGACAAAGAGGATGTAACAAGGTTACCTTTCTTAATGTGCTGTAAATATTCTCTCATTGAACTTCATATGCTGTCTCTGTAATATCTGGGTCCGTGTTCTCATTCATTTCTGAGGATAATAGTCTTAGCTTTTGTTATACGTTGGCATCTCATTTATTCATTTATTCATCTGCAAATGCATTTATCCAAAAATAGCATGGTCTGCATGAAAAAGATGCATTCCTGTCATCCAGAATCCTAGCAGTCTCTGGTCTGCCAGTCCTTGAAACAGTGATAAAATTCACGATAAACCAAGTCAGTATCTTCTAGTGCGTGTTTGTGAGTGTTGGTTTATTCAGGGATTTGTTCTGAGGGTGGTTTGGAGGCTACACTCCTCCTATGGCTCGCATTTCCTGTTTGCCTTTGGTTCCATTAAATATGGCTGCTCGGATTCCTCTTCTTTCATTGCCCTTGGCTTTACCTGTGCCCAGCTAGCAGAATTTCAGAGGTCTTCCTTTGAGCATTTCAGACAGTCTGTTCTACATCTCAAATACTGGAATTTCTGTTTTTGATTTTCGTTGTACATTTATTGTGTCATATAGCACATCTTTCCATATCAGGTCATATTTTCTATAGCACCTGTGTGAATTACCCTAATTATTAGCTGAACACCATAAAAGTGAGTGAAGTTCCTTCATAAACTCATTATTTTTGAAAGGCTCATTAAATTAGACATACTCAAAAATTAATGTACAATCAGCTCATTTATCTGTATATACGTAAAAGCCAATTAATCGATGTACCTAATTTGTATGAGACAGCATGAGTTTCATATTTCTGGATGCACACTGGACAGATGATATACTATTCAATTGTTTAAAAACTAAGTCTAAATCTACAAATTAAGTATGTAAATACTATTTATCCAACTAAAGTACCTAATTTCAGGCTAATTTGAACATAAATAATATTTTCACATTTCAGAGGACCTTAATTACTGGGGTTGATTAATTTATTTTAAAGTCTGTTGAATACAATTCCTTTTGATAATGGATGAAAAGAAACATCATTTTGGCCAATTCTGCCAGTAACCAGTTTTATAACCCTTCAGAGATCACTTAGCACCTTTAGGTCTCAGACTCTTCATTTATAAAACAAGAAATTTTATTCCTAAGACCCTTTTGGTTTCAACTCTGTTTATTTATTGCATAAATAACTACCTCTTGACCTTCTCAAAGTAGTTATTTAATGAGAAAGGTTGGCATAACCCTACGCACATCTATCTCCACAGGTAAACCTATACCTATATATAGGTAAACCTATATAAATACTTAATATGTGGATGTAAACCTCAAGTGTGTTTCTCATCATGTATTTCCTTCTTTCTGTTCAAAATACAAGGCTGACTTGGAGAATAATTGAAATATTGGAATAAGACGATTCTTATTTCCACGTTCATTACCGAGAAATACTTTTTAAAGGAAGATTTAGGGAAGATTGAAAGGAAGTAGTGAGCTCTTCTTGCAAGTCTATCAATCTCTTTACTGATTAACATAGGATCTTCCTTCAATTGTCTACAGATTTGGAGATGTGAACTCCATTTAGGCCATCTGGGTCAATGCCCACAATTTGCCATAATCTCTCAATTAATTTCCAGTGAATGGAATGGTTATTGCATGAGCTTTGGCCTCACAGAAATAACTTATTCTCGGGACTAGATATAAAATTATACATTTTAGAAGTAAAATCAACTGAATATTCATAACATTCTGTCACTTTGTACTTACTCTGCTGTTTTCTTGTCTGAACAAACCATGCACTGTATTCCAAATTAAAACAGAAAACATTATTTCTTTCTGATGGTAGGATGCAAATTTTGTATCCTTAAAAAGGTGGTACATTTTTGGGAAAATTCTGTTTTTGTATGTGTTTCGAATGATCGTTTACTAATGCAAATGTTGCTTGGAATTACTTTTAGCATAATGGACTGTTGTCTGACTTTGAGCCAATATTCAGGGATTTCCTTAGTTTAGTCTTCCAGCTTCCTGACTCTGTTTCCAACTTGAGTGTAGAAAAAAGCAAATAAATCTGAAAAACACTCAATATTTCATAATTAGTTTCTTTGTTTTTCCCTTTAGCCAAACCAACAACTTTATCTCTTCCTCTGACCCCAGAGTCACCAAAGTAAGTATTAAGAAATGCAACCATTTTCAGAAAGGGAAGGGGGTTCTAACACATTTGGCTACAGCAACTCCATTTCAGTTTGTTTTTATAAATGTGCCATATCTTCCAGTGACCCCAAGGGTTCCCCATTTGAGAACAAGACTATTGAACGAACCTTAAGTGTGGAACTCTCTGGAACTGCAGGTAAGTCTTATATTTCACTTGGAAATTGTGTGTATGTGTTTGTGAAATATCTATTAGGTAATAAAATATATTCTATGTGATCAATGAAATAAAGAGTACAACAAAAATTGGACAAGAAATTATAAATATTTTCAGTTGCTTATTTAAAAAAAATTGAATTGAAACATGTTTGAAAGATACTTATCATATGTCAGAACAGGCCAGACTTTCTGGTGTGTATTTTTGCTTTGGATCCTCAAAGGACCCTATTTTGTGTGAAGACAATGAAATTTGAGTAGGAGGAGAAATGAACATTTTGGCTGTCCCCACTAGTAAATGTGTCAGGCATATAAGTAGTTCCAGTAAATTTCACAGCGACCTCGTGGAGTTTTTGGTAGTTTTCTTATTTTTAAGGTGAGGAAATTGGTTTTGAGATATTAAGTAGCATGTACGTGATCATGGAGCTGGAGAGCAAGGGGAAAATCTTGAATACAGGTTTATTAATGGTCAATATTTCTCTTGGAATATTTTCTCACTCTGTGCCACATTTAGAGCACATTCTATCCTATACATGTCACTATTTTTATATCTTTCCAGCAAAAGAGAACACTGAAAATATGCCCATTCATCAAAACAAAATGTTCTTATCTGTTTTCCAACAAGAGTAATTTCCTTCATCATTTGGGACCTGTGAACTCCTTTAGCCAGTCTTTACTTCACATGAAGAGGAAGGAGCTTGAACAGGTGGACTAACTGAAGAGTTCCTAGGCAAACTTCTGAGTTGCTTGTGAATGGTGCCTCTCTGCTGAGAGTTTTAGGTGTAGGAACTTGAACCACACCAGAGAGTGAATCTTAGGATGTCTGAACAAGAAATTCCTTGGCTCTGGTCATTGCTGATAAGGATAAAGGAACAGTAAGTCAAACAAGATGCTTTCAAGCAGAACTATGGTGCCTACACGCTCATTGTCACTAAGTTTAATTTCACACTTTGAGTTTGCTAAATTACCTCCTTATGAAAGGTCCACTGCATGATTGCATGATTTGGTCAAGCAGTAGAGTAGTTAATTTCATGGTGTATAAATAGTGTATATGTATGCAGACTCACACATACATACATTTGTATACAAATATAGCTTTCTATTTATACAAATATAGCTTTCTATTTAGCTGCACATATACACACATATATACACTTATAAGCACAAGCATAATGTGATTTTTTATAATAAATTATAACTTACATATATAATTAGAAGTAACTTTTATTTGTACACATTATATACAGTAGAAGTCTTCTTATCTGACCACTGAGAACAAGTAATTGATGGGTTTATTTAAAAAGTTGGTTCAAGCATATTCAATTTTGTATCTTACTTTTGGTTGAAACAGTTAGACATACATTAAAAAAAGATATGTGTGGTAAGACATACAGACCTTTACCTTGAGCATAAATTTGTTAACTGGGGGTTCATTCGTCTTTCTTACATGAGTCACACCAGTGATAGATCATAGATGGTATTTACTTTTCTTGTTCTTTGAAGGAAAAGAATTAAAAACATTTGTATGGTAATCTGAGTGCAAAATCTTTCTAAATTTTAAAGATTTTCCCCAATGTTTTACAATACCACCTACCCCAAACAAATTTGACAGCATTTCTTCTAGCAACTTATTCTTAGTGTGCCTATTTTTATGGAAATAATTTTCATAGTCACATTCCACTCATTTGTGTATTTTGTCATCTTACATGAAATCAATCATTGGTACAATGAACATGAACTCATTTTGGAAAATATACCACTGTGGCTCTTGGTGATAATTCAGATGAAAGGAATCCATTAATTAGGCGCATTCAGAATGTTGTAGGTATTAGTCAGTTCCTCTGTTTTAGAGAGGGGAGAGAGAGCTTCCATTGTATGTACCAATATCAAGCTTTCCATTAAAGAAACTTATATTATTCTCTGTTTATAAATAATGAACTTACTATGAACGAGTCAAAAATATAAACTAGTTGAAAACTTCTTCATTGTTCTAAAGCGTCAAGATAGCATTGGGTACAGATAATTTCACACATCTGTGATCATTTTGTGTGTGTGTGTGAGTGCATGTACATATACTCTTGCTTCTTAATTTTTCAATTTAAGTTTTGATGAAGATTTTTGTATCATCTCAAACTGTATTACCAGGCTATCAGAGTTCTGTACAGTATTAGTTTGAGTAGGAATATAAAAAAGTATTTAATCATAAGCCTTTTGTTTTATGTTTAGGTTGTTTTGTAATGTCATTGTTTGAAATAGCACTGCAGTAGAATCTCTGTTCAGTTATCAAAACCCCCCTCGCTTCCAGGCTGAACCTGTTCTTCCTTTTTCTCCAATTTTTTTTGAAGAGAAGACATAAGCAAAAGTATTTTTGCTAGTTGAGATAAGGATAGCTATACAGAGAGATTCCTAGCATTGCTTCCATGTACAAGTGTGTTACAACCCAAGTTGATTCATCTCTACCTGACCTTTTCACTAGTTTCTGATCCCCTTCCCATATTGACCTCTGTCACTTTAAGGTTTCTGTATTAGCTCCTCTGCAGTGGGACACCCAAGTCCAACCACATTGCTGTATTTGCCCTAGATCTTAAAGTCTGCAATATGAGGGAAGAACATGTGAATTGTTGGTCTTCTGAGCCTGCGCTAACCTCGCCTCAGAATGATTTCTTCCAGTGTCCATCCATACTTGAGAATAATAAGATTTCATTACTCTTCATGAACTGAAGTTAAAAACTTCCATGGGCTATAAATACCACATTTTCTTTGAAGCCATTCATCTAAAGGTTAGGGGCATCTTGGTTTTTTTCCATAACTTGGCTATTGTGAAGTGCTTGCAGTAAACTATGGGTGGTTGTGCAGTGCCTCTGGAGAGTAACCTGTGTTCGCTTCCTTTGGGTTATATCCCCAGGAGTGGGATTGCTGGATCATATGTCATGATCTATGATTTAGATTTTTTTAAAAGCTCTCCAGATTTTTTTCCAGACTAGATTGCACTAGGCTTACCTTCCCAACCAGCAGTATAGGAGGGGCCTTAATTTAATCCCCACATCCTCGCTAACACCTGTTGGTGGTGTTGGTTAATTTATGATGGCTAGTTCTAACGGAGTGAAGGTGGAATCTTAATGCGGTTTTTTTTTTTTTTTAACTTTTTTTTCTGAGTATGTTTCTTTTTTTTAAATTTTTATTATTCATATTGTGCATACAGGCTTGGGTCAAACTTCTCCCCCTGCCCTCCACCCCCTCTACCACCCACCTCTTGTCCTCCTAACTCCTCTACCCCCTACCCCACTCCAATACCCAGCAGAAAAACGTATTGGCCTTATTTTCATAAATTTTCTGTGTAGAGAGTTTATAAAGCCATTGTAATAAGAAAAGGAACAATCAGGATTTTTGCTGGTTGAGATAAGGATAGCTATACAGGGAGTTGACTCACATTAATTTCCTGTGCGTGTGTGTTCCCTTCTAGGTTAATTCTTTTTGATTTGCATTTCCTTTATGGCTAGAGACAGTGAGCATTTTTTCATGTGTTCATAAATCTTTTTAACTTATTTTCTCAGAATAGATTCCTACTGGTTATTAGTATCAAACTAAGTGTATAAATATCACAAGAGTCTGATATTTACATTGCCAATCAGCTTTCCAAAAGGGTATTTGTACTTACCTCCCCATTATCCCCAATAGACATACTTGCTTTATGACATCTTTGTAATTTGGGGAGGGGTATCTTAATTTTAAAAGTGTTTTTCTAATTAACATTAACATCTCATTTATTTGCCTTTATTATTAGTGAAATTGTAGTATTATACAAAGGACTTAATTTTATTTTCTTCTTGGCAGAGGTTTGACTATTTCTTCTTATTGGATGGTACTTGATCTTTCTTTCCTCCCTCCCTCCCTCCCTCCTTCCTTCCTTCCTCCCTCCCTCCTGTCCTCCCTCCCTCCCATTCTCCCTCCCTTCCTCCAGTTCTCCTTCCTGTCTGTCCTCCCTCCCTTCCTCTCTCCTTCCCCTTCCTTCCTTTTTCTCCCTCCCTCCCTCCCTCTTTTCTTTTTTCTTTCTCTCTCTCTCTCTCTGTCTCTCTCTCTCTCTGTCTCTCTCTCTCTCTCTCTCTCTCTCTCTCTCTCCCCCTCCCTCCCTCCTTTGTTTGTTTGTTTCTTTCTTTTTCATGCTGGGGATGGAATCCAGGGCCTTGCACATGCTAGGTAAGCACTCCAGCACTGAGCTACATCCCCAGCCCAGGCATTTAAATTTTAAATAGCTTATGATTTTAAGAAGTTAGTAAACTACTCAATTGAAAGGCAGGTAGAGATTTATAAAGAAATATTTTGTCAACACTTAAAACTTTTATATAGTATATTTACTTCTGCCAGCGATTCATAGTCGTCTTATTACCTTAAATCCTTTATTCTTGGTAATGTTGAAATGTTATTGGGTATAATGGGAATGAATTTATCAATGTATTTTTGATACCTGCTTTATGTTGACCATATCTCAGGTCTTGCTGGGTATGAAGCCAATGTAAATAGAGACACATCCATGCAAAGCATAGAGAACAGTACTTGGCCCTAACATGTACTAAGTACATGTTCTTAGGCCACAGACATGGGCTTGTAGTCTACTGAAAAAAATGCTTACTGGTAAGCGGCACAGAAGAAAAATTACTGTATGTAATGTTTTGCCTTCTTCTAAGAAAGATGGACCCAGAGGGTGGTTTATAGCTTGCTGGGCATGATGGCAATAACTGTGAAGATGTGGGGAAGTGAGGTAGGGCCAAATTGCATGACATAAAGGAAAGATTTATAACTATGGGAAAACAAGGAGATGAAGAGGAACTTGGAGGATGCCAAAGTAGTCTAGAAGTGGTATAAGGTGGTGATGAGGGGAAGGAAGGTTTTTTTAAGTAGAGATATTGTGATTATGCTTTGCAAGGTCTGATGTCCATGGTCCCCATCCTATGTAAAAATCTTCAGTTAGATGTATTGCTTAATTGTGTTTGTAGGATGTGACAAATATTGATTGTACCTCAAAAGAATCATAAAGAGAGAAAAGGAGTTAACAAAGGGAACACTGTAACATGGCTTCAAAGTAAAAGACAATGATTGTGCAAAAGATTTTTCAAGAACTTTGAAGACAGTTGAAGGATGAAACAAACAATTAAACAAAGGCAATGTCATTATCCCAGTGAGTGACAAAGGTGACCTGTGGGAAGAGTTTGGAGGAAATTGAGTTCTCCAGAGGCTAATGTGACTTGGGAAGAGTTAAGGCAGAAATGTACCTGCACCAGAGTTTGAAGCAGGAAGGCAGAAAAGAGAGAAGATGTTGGAGCATGGACAGAAGCAAGAAGGCAGGAAATGTGAGAGCTGTATAGGTGGCAATAACTTTGGCCTGGCTGATGAAAATAGTAAGGGACTACACCATGACACACACACTTTTGTCTTTCGTCTTTTGTTTGCTAAGACTCTTTCTGTGTCCTTGATCTTTTCTTGGTCGTAGTTTCTTCAACTTTAAAGTTCTTCAATTTTAAATCACTGTCAGACTCAAACTAATAAAACAGAGGTTGAAATATAACATTGCCAGTATTTAACCATTTTCAACATGCAAAAATGAAAATGACATGTAGTTTAAAGTGAATAAAAACACTTTCTAAAAAGAGAAGGTATAGTCCAAAGACTATTAAGAATTTTTTTTAAAGAAGATGACATATTTTAGTGACTTTGTGAAAATCCTTGCTTTGATGTTAGACAAACCCAAGTTCAAAAACGTGGATCTACTCTCATCTACCATATGGCCTAGATCAATTTACTCAACACCCCTAAGTCTCAGGGTCCTTATCGGCCAAATGAAGATGACTATATTATCTTACCTCACTGGGTCACCAGAGGATTAAATGAGACTAACATGAGTGCCGGGATACTGTATAAGTATTCAATAGATACTAGGTGTTTAACTACTAATTCTCAGTTAGCTTCACCTACTAAGCCAATGTACCTTGCTTCTCCTCAACTTTTGACTGTTTCATTTGCTCTCTAATGTTCTTGATCTTGCTGCTATATCCTGTGCCAGTCTTATATGTGGAGTTCTTTATTTTGTGACACACACAC